GTCAAACCGCACTAGACATTTGGTGCATCGATGCATGTTCACATGGACTGAGTTCAATTCAAATTATTTTAATTCGAATTAATTTACTGCGCATTAAATTACTTTGCATTAGCTCCTTGTGAACACTAACATGACTAAGGTAAGCTAATTCCAATTAAATTTTGAGGCATGTGAAATGGCAAAATTAAGTCAAATGCTACATGTTGGTGGTCAGCTTTAAGTACTTGTGCTATTTTTGAGTGAAAAACTAAGGAAAATATAGTGTTAATCACTAAAATGTGAAAACAGACACTGTGACATTATGTCATTGACAAATACATCTGTTTATGCCTAAGGTGACATGATTTGTAAATGATGTCATAAAAGCCTAACTGAAGCCTGCATGACTGTCAAAGTAAAATTTTTATTCGATTTGGTTACTTTGCATTATAATTAGCTGTCATGTGAACACAGTTTGATTCGCATTAGTTTGATTTGCATTTAATTTAGTTTACTTCGCAATAATTTACTGCGAATTAAACTCTCCGTCTGAACAGGGCACTAGACTCTAAAGTCACATGATGTGGTAGTGTAAGTTTGGCCTACAATACCACTTTCAAGCTTGAATGTAGCTCAAAGAAGCAAAGCACTGTGGGTCCAAAGTTACTGCAGAAAAAAATTTAGTATAATTTATTGACAAAAAAATTGCACACAATATAATATTGCTCAGTTAATTAAATCAATATTTTATTATGTCATATGTATGTTTCTTAGTTAAATTGCAAAAGAAATTTGTAAAAAAAAAAAAATGTAATAGTAGAGTTTGCTTTTTTTGTGATAAGGCTGCAGAAATGGTTTGTTTGTTAATTAGTCTATTGAAAATTTTTCAGTCATTTTATGATGCCACCACTTGGGATAGTAAGCTGCAAATATAGACTTGTACTCAGCACTTATTGCCTTTGAGAAGTAAGGGATCATTTTCGTGCCAACACCCACACCTACTGTGACACAGAATCTCGGTTTATACAGTCTCTTTGGAGTAACCTGTCTCTAGCATTTAGCAGTAAGTATCAGCTTCTTATTGATACTTTGATTGATAATGTTATCATGAGAATCTCACTCATTCACTCATTTAATATATACTGGTGAATAGCTTCAATATGGACCTTTACTTGGAACTCAGGGTCATTATCCTAACATCTAATGTGAGGTTTTTAGGGTCTAATTCACTACAAATGTTGGGTGCATGGTTATAAGGGAACATAACTGCGTACATGTTTTTGTCTTAGGTTTGATGCAGTGAATTAAAATCAAGCCCAGCTTCATGATTATACATAGCGATTGCCCTACCACTAGGCTACCATAACAGACAATGATGTATTTGGGTTATATAGTAAAAAACGCTTAGGCAAACACTTATAATGAAAAGAAGCTTATCGAAAACTGAATTTTATTCCCAGTCTTTTTAAAATATATATGGAAAACTAAATGGTGTCCTGATAAGGCAATTTGTTAAAGTGTGTGTTAGGAACAATGTGCTAACACAGTGTTCTCAACACTGTTAGGCTAAGGCAACTTAGAACAACATGCAGTTGTGCTGATGCTCAACATGCTGCCATGCTAAGGCCATTCCAAGTTTTTTCTATGTTTAGCGTCCGTGTGCGCCTTGGTTTTTGACACCCCATGTTAGAAAAAACACACACCATCAGGAGTCCTGAAATTGATTAATTTAGGCAAAATTGTTGAATTTGTCAATTTCTCCAAAAAATTCTGTACAGTAAGTTATATTTGGTGTATTGTAAGCATTTATTCCCTTGTTTTTGCTTAAGAATAGACATTTCTTCTATTAAAGTAGTTTAGTTAGATCAAATCATTGAAAATCATTTTAATCCTGTGTTTTATGTTTTGGCTTCTGTGTTGTTGTTTTTTTTGCGAATAGATTGGTAGGTTTTTGAAAGATGGGTGGACGCTAAACAGAGAAAAAACTTGGAATGGCCTAATACAACTTTACACAATCTATTAGGCCAAAATAAAAAAATACTCCTGTTTCCTGTCACCCGACCTACCCTACATTTTACCCTCCGACCCTAAAAGTTTTTATTACATTTTCATTTTTTGGATAACTATTTTTCTAAAATACTGAAGTTGACCAATGATATTTACAGAATTAATACATCACAAGTGTACAGGTTACCTTTACTTTATAAATCTTGATTAACAAACTTGCTTTGAAACTGTTAACATATCATTTTCTTGTTATTACAGTTATTACATGCTATATGTTCTGCATTCATTAAATTTTGAAAATAAAATTTTTTCTCAAAATAAAATTTTTTCCCTACCTACCGACCCTAATTTTTTTGGTCAGGGGACAGGAAACAAGAGTATATTTTATTTTAGCCTTATGTGTAAGCTTGACGGCGTAGTGTAAACAGCCTGCTGAAACTTTGTTACAAACGCACTAAGTACATTGTCACCGTGTTGTCATAAGCACACTAGCCCATTCTCATAAGCGTGATAGCACATTTTTACTTCACGCTAGCATGTAAGTGTCTTAAACAATTAGCATGCTGTCATAAACTTAGTAGCATGGTGTTTTAAATGAGCTAGAGCAGCATTGTTACTTTGCGCTAGCTCATTGTTTCTTATGCGATGCTGTTTTGTCACTTCATTTAGTGCATTGTTCCTAATGTGCTGTAACACCTTTATGAATGGCCTTATCCTGACACATAAAAAATCATAACCAGATACCATCTTTCTGACTGATTAGTCGGTTAAAAACTGTTAACCATTACCATTCCTAATAAATTTTGACATGAACAAGTTATGTACATACCCTTTATTTGAAATCATGAAAAACTAATATGTTATTTATTACATCCTCAAATGACTGCCTGTAAACCTAAATTTATAAATGATTATAGAGTAGTTTTACAAATAATACACATGCAGAAACGTGACAGTATACATTTATTGACTGAGTTCGAGGGCAACATGCGTTTTGTTGGACCAAAGAACCAAACTGTCTGCCCGAGGCAGACGCATTTTGCCCGAGAGCTCTGTCAATAAATGTTTTGTTATACCTTTCATTTTATTATATATTTTTTGACATACATGTATTTTGTACTATATTCCGTAATGTAACATTAGATCTGTCATTGTTTAAAACCAAAGAATGAAAATGAGATTAAGCTCCGCCCATTCTGTGACGTAAGCAGTCCAACATCTCTCCGAGCGGTCCAACATCGATTTTTTTATGCCCACTCAGCAAAACATTAAAAATGTTAGACTTTTTTCTGTATAGATTTTTATAGGAACAATTTTTTAAAGGTATAACAATATCTTATAACTAAGTTTGATGGTTTATCTTATCTGATAAGTTGTACTTTTAAAAAAATCAATTTCTTTTGATAGGTGTGACTGTCATCTGAGTACTGAAATTTGATGCCAAGCATAATCATGATTTGCCAGAAGAGCCTCTTTTGGGAGATGACAAAGAATAAACAGCAGAATGAAATTGAAACAATCAACTGAATCAAGTCTCAGTTTAAGAAGATGATTTTAAATATATCATATTTAAATTTTGATTTGAGAAACAGACATAAATCCAAAAATATGATTATATCAATTGCTTTCAGTTTCTCAAGATAAATAGATTTTGTTGCAAAATCTAATATGTTTAATTTGGAATAAATGTTCTTTTAAATATTTGTCAGATCTTGCATGTTTACATCTGTATTGAGGTCTTCCGCTTCCAAGGGAAGACATACCAATTCTAATGGTAAAGATGATAGAGGTCTGTCTTCAGTGGCAATATATAAGGTCTAATATGTGTATTTTTACAGTATAATTGAAGGAACATTGCTATCTTGGCATAAACAACTAAAGCATTAACAAATGTGCATGATTCAGAACAACGGACATGTTATTTCAAACACAAGATCAAAGAGATGTCCAGTCACATTTCAAAGTCAACAAAGCACAAAATCTGTTTACAGTTTAGCTCATATGAGCTAAAGCTGTAGTAAAATTTTGAAAATTCACCCATTATCATCTTTATCTTAAATTCTTCAGAATTTCATTTTCTTCTCAGAACAACTGGACAAAGTTAAGTTAAACTTGGCACAGAGCATTCTTTAGTGTAGATTTCTGTGATTTAGTGATTTTCATAGGGTCACATTGACCAGCATTTTTCTCAAAATTGCTTTTAGACAGAAACATAATATTTTCAGTGATGATAGAGCTACATGTGCTGATGTGACACATACCTCTCTCTTTCTCCGGAAGTGCAGCACGTCGGCGCTCGCTATGGCTTGTAAAAAATCCCATCGGGGATTTAGAAAATGTTCACACCTTTTCTGCAATATCTTTTTACATGTTAATATTTTGAAAAGACATTAAGAACAAAAGTTGTGAAGAATATCACAATCTTCCAAAGGATATCAACTATAAAGGGCTTGCCCCTATAATTAAGGACTTAGAGGGACCAAAATTTTTTCCTTAATATCTGAAAAAAAGATTTGAATTTGTAATACGTCAAAGAAGCAAAGTTGTTCAAAATGTCAAGCTTAATCTATTGAATTCGTCCAAATGCGTCTGGTGACGTCGCTTCTGGTCAAACCGAAAGTCATCAGAAAGTGCATATTTTTGTCATTCTTGACAAGGTTTTGGGTAACATATATCACTGAAGGCATTAAACTTAATTTTTTGTCAATTCACATCACTTTTGGTCAAACCAGAAGTAGCCAAAAAAGCTTATTTTGAAGGTTTTGACTCAAAATTGAAATTATAAAGTCACTGGAGACAACCTAGCTCATTGCTTTCTTTTTGTTGACGTCACTTCCGGTCAAAACAGGACGGAAGACCTACTCGTTGCTTTGCAACGAGCTTTGCTCTAGTTAACGCTTATATTTGATTAAATCATATTGGTTGAACATAAAATTAATTTTAAGATTTTAGAATAATTGTAGGAAATATAACATATACAGCTAGAATTTCTTAAATCACAAGCAAGACCTTAGTTCATTTTGATTGTTTTTATTTTATTCATTTTTATATCTTATAGAGTTTATCATACAATATTGTGACATACAATCATGATACATAGAAAACAACAATTCCAATAAACAACAAGGATGGCACTGATACACTCAATGATATACAACCCAATGTCTTAGAGAAAATATGATTCATGATACTCAATGAAGAAAACCATCAATTCCACACAACTACCATTATGTAAATTTTGAAATGTCATGTAAATTTTGTATCAATTTACTGTCACCTGATAAATACAAAATTTACAAAATGACACAACGATTTGCTTAACTACATAAATGATGGTGTACATTGTATATATATATACCAGATATATATATTTATACATTTTTAAGCTATGATTATTGCAGTAGTTTAGATACAGATCTTTTAATAACAAAAACTTTTTAATCATCAATTTTAAGTCTTCTGTTATAGTTTAAATGGTATTAGATTTCATTGTTTCTGGTTCTGTATGCGCTTCAATTGCAAGGCCTGTCTGTACGTTCCTCTTACACATGTGTGTGCAAGTAATTTTCCTCAAGAATTTGCGACGATTGAAAGTTAAATTACTTTGACAAGTTTTCTCAAAAAGAATTTAGGTTTATCAACTGGGTTTGAGTAAGATTTCTTTAATATTTTTAGTAAAATAATTATAAATCACTTGACATGTATAACATTTTTATATACATTTTGAAACTAGTTTAGAAATCTTAAGATAATATTCGCTTGTAATGATGATAAATATTTTTGATCTTACCAAGACAAAGAAACAGTTGAAGAATATTTTCTCATACCTTAAGAAAATAAAAAATTAAAATTTATAAACATATTAGATGAAAAACATTAATAAATAAAAGAAATTCTAAGTATTCTTGGCGAAGATGCATATGGATCGAGGTAATAAAAAAGCAAAATATTGCAATAGATAATACAATTTCGAATAAAACATTTTATGTTAAGTTCACAAAAAGAAGAAAAAATTCCAAATTGTATACTTAATATGTAATTAGTATTTCTATTCGTTGCATCATAACAAGCATTAACCTTCTGAAGAGGTTGAATTTAGTATCAATGCTATATCCCTAGAGAGACAGTGTATCTAAACATATGTGTACAATTTTTAGCTGTTTGACAAGAAAACTCAGTGATGTGTTTTTCATCGGAAGTAAAATACATAAGCCTTTGTCCAGTAGAAGTAAATTTCTGCTAAGAATACAACTCAGCTTAATAGATCTATTTGACATTTAAATAAATTTAAACTATTTTGTCAGAGAGGTACAAAAAAATGCTTGTTGTTTTTTTTTCCCGGATGTCTTCTACATTGTACAATTAAAGACCATGTCGCATTTAGCCTACATTAAACATATAAAGCTCTAATCAATAAAATACGGTCCTAAATTATAAATAATAAATAGTACATTTGTTTTAATTTAAAACTTTCACTCGATACTGCACTGCATTTCAAATTTAAAGTATTACTTGGGGAAAATGTCTTCACCTGTACCCTGAAAGCGTTGCTGTATGCGCCAAAGCCTTTCTGCGCAGCTCTGCTATACTGGTGCCCCTCCAAACATCTTCCACTTCCTGCATCCCACAATTCACTTGTGGATGGGAAATCGGCGGAGAATTAGAACTTGCTGAAAGAGGAGAAGCACAGCTAACAGGTGGAACACCGAAGCACGTGCTGTGCAGCGAAGCACCATTATTTGGCATTGAAATGTTGCTTGCAATCGTAGAGCAAGCTTCTTGGAGGCCCGTGAACGGGACCTGGGACCCAAAAGACTGACCCAGGGATGTTTGTCGAGGCAAGGAGGATGCGAGGGCAAGAGGGTTTCCGTTCATTGTTGACGTCATACTTGGAATCGAAGACCATCTCGAATCTGTGGGACGAAAGGTGCAGAAAGCGTCATTCATTGTTCCGAATGGAGACATTCCAGGGTTCGGCAACAAGGCGCCAGGTGTTCGGAACACATTTGTTGTCTTCTTTCTTTTCTTCCATTTTGCTCGTCGATTTTGAAACCAAACCTGTTAAAATAAAGTTTTAAGAAATATTTGAAAATACAAGAAAAAGTTGTTGACTTACATAAATACAGTATTTAAATTGAATGGGGTACACAAATACAATGATGCTGTGTATTAAAGTGTGAAATTCTAAAACTGGTGCAGGTTTTGTTTTATAAATAACAGTCAATTTCAACAATTTATTGTTTCATGCAGACAGCCAGAATAGAAAGGATTTGCACAATTAAATGATATGTACGTAGATAAGTGAAAAAATTATAAGCTCTTATTTGCTTTCTTTCAAGAAGTGCTAACATAGGTAATATACATTAGTCATATTTTTCATTAATTACGAGTACATGTACATGCATGTCTGTCATCTAATGTAATCTTATATAATAATATATTAACATTTACATTTCGTGATAGCACAACTAATTCAATTTAAATACCATCTGTTTATTTCAATTCAATTTTAAAAATTTGTAATAATGAATTATGATGGACACCTGACGATGGTTAATATTAAATAAACACTTCTACATAATTTAATGTCAAGAACAATCAGTTTGTTTTGAACTTTCAATCATGTTTTATCAAAACTTTCAATCATGTTTTACAAGATTGTGATGATAATGTAAATGTTAACGATATAAATATTATGATAATATAATTCAAGATACAGTCGTTCAGACGAACACAACATTTATTGACTGGGTTCGAGAGCAACATGCATTCTGTTGGACCCAACCACCAAACTGACGGTTTGCCCGAGGTCATTTAGGTTCCAAGGGCAAACAAAAGGCATTTTGCCCGAGAAAACACTTTTGTGTTCTAAATATTAATTTATGGATAGGAGTAAATACCAGAACACGACAACTGTTGTCATGTTCTAAAGAAGATGGGTGGATAAGGCGGACAAAGTCCCTATAGTGCGAGAGATAAGAAGTGAAAAATTTAATCTCAATTATATCCAAATTTTATTTGAAATCTTATCTAATATTAAAGTATACTTAATGTAAAATCTCTACAATTTGCAAAAATCTCACCAAGACTGAAAATATTTGCCTATGAAAAAGCATATTACACACACTAAAAAGAACAAAAACGATAATTTTCTCATACTTTAACAAAAACTTTCAATATGAGTGGGTCTTCCCTCCATTTTTTTTAAAGATAATCCTAAAAGTTTGCAATAAAATATACATTTTTTGGTTTACAAAAACATGAAGCGAAGACCCACTATACCTTAAAAGTGCTCTTTTATGACAAAACATTCGCATCTTTCAAGTCCATTAAGTCAAGGGTCATATAACGAACCTGATTTAAATTCCCAAAATCATCATAAGCCATGTAGCATAATGGTAAGTCTCAAAGCAGTATGATACATAGGATTTTTATTGCTAGGGGGTTCGAATCCCACGAATATCATCTTATATTTTTCTCTCAGAAAAGTTTTTTTTTCTCATAATTTCTTAAATTTTAATAATGAGAAGTTAATTTAAATACTCAATTTACATATTGAATATGATTTCTTAATATCCAACGCGCTATAGGCATTCTGCCCGCTTTGTTCCCCCATCTTCTTTTGCATTTACTCCCATGCAATCAGTAAATTAAAAAAAAAACGCGGTCAATAATTGTTATGGTATACCTTTTAATTTTGATTTTAACATATCCTGAGTTGGCTTTCATGGTTTCGATCATTGATAAGGTTTGGCTGATCCATACATGTATCCTACAGGTAAATGTAAAAGACAGTCTTACATGTACACGGTGTTTTTCGTGCATGGGTCCCGGGGCAATATCTTCCCTCAGCGGTTCAACATCGATATAGTTTTTGGACCGCTGAGGGGAAAATGGAAAAGTTAAGACTTTGTTGAATAAAGATTACATGTAGTATATATTTAAACATAAGAAATTTTATTTAAAGGTACATGTACATCTTTTTTATATAAGACTCTTCAAACCACACGATGCATTTGGAATGATTATAGTTATCTAAACTGAAGTTATGGGATTTTTTTCTCATTGCATGTTTTTCTTTTTAATTACATTATATTTATTTATTGTCTAAACAGCTGTTACTTCCAATTATTTTTCTTAATTTCAAAAATTTATCTCAATATCTGTATGAATATATTAGGTCTCTCGCCATATATAAACAGTGAATCTATTCAAATTTTTTAAAGTTTTTTTTTACAAACGATAAATATATGTATTACTTTTTTAACTAATTTACTTATTGAATGAAATGTAAAGGCAGTGGGTCTTGCGTTTAATCCTGTGCATTCTGTGAACAAAATACAATTAAAATTAATTCAAAAATATATAATTTTTCAATTATTACAGTACTTTAAAATTTAGTTCCTTGCTTTGAACGGATTTTAAACGGTTAATAATTTAATTTCCAGGAAACGTCAGATACACCACGCATTTTCTATTTTTATCCTTGTTAGAAGAAAACACTCCTACTTGTGAAATGTGACCACTGTCTATTCCGATCTTAAGCTTTAAAAAAAGTTGTTCTTTTCCGAGAGTATGAAATCGCTGTCAGGACCCAAAGTCTCGCGAGATGAGCGTGCGTTAGGATGACATGGCAGACCCGTTTTCCAATAACAAGACACACGCAAGCACGGTGGCCGTTAGAAAATGCTAATTGTTCTATTTGCACATCTTTGACAGGGCTGAAATACCGTTGTGTCATGATATTCCTTTGACAATTTAGTAGAGTTAATAAAATAATTATAAATGTGTCAGTCATAGATAGGCTTTGGTCGAAGATAATCTGTATGTTAATTGAAATGTTCCAATGGCGTGAGAGAAAAATTCATCAAAATCGTATGCTTCATCAATGTATATCAATTTTCAATTTATGTCTCCAAACCCATGCACAAACAACTAAAAATAAAATAAAATTATTCTTTAATATTTTCTGTAAAATTGAATGAAAAAATTCACACAAATAACTGGATTTGCTTAGACGAAATTTCTTATGCGAATTTTATACACGTAAATGTATATTTTAAAATGGGGGTCATTTTAATTCTAGAAGTATATTAACTACAATATTTACCTCCTATTTACCATGCTTTATTTCTGAACTACAATGCAGTTAAAATGCCGACGATTGAATGCAATTGAATTTGTTTACTTTTCACAGGTTTTATTTATTTTAAGCAATTAATTGAAGAATATAAATGTGTGTAAATCGGCGAGGATCAAAGAAGTTATTAATAGGATTTGTGTACAAGAGAGTATCAATAAAATGGGGTCAACCGTCTCGATTTTTAAAGTTTGAATCAACTTCGTCTTTGGTTTGACCGACCGTTCAGGTCATTTTATTTAAACAACATTTAAATGTACATATGAATTACAAAATGGAATCGCACTCTTTTTCTGTTATGCTTCTGAAAGCCGACAATGGAATTGTGTATCGGGCAAAAAAGCATCAATATTCTGGTCACTTCAAAGTAAAATCCTCCTTTGAAGTCTTTTAACACTAAATCAATTAATCATAATTGAGATTTTTGTTATACTGAAATAAAAAAAAACTTCCCATGATATCCATTCCTTATTTGAGAACGAAATATTCAAATTAAATTCAAAATAATTTTGCTTTACTTTTTTAAAGTGATTAAATCAACAATTCTGCACGAAAATTAAAGAAAAATAATATTTAAAAAAATCTTGAGCTTCTACGAGATATCAAAATCTTTTAAATAAATTACATGAATAACAGTATTATTTTCTCTCAGCTTGGGGATTTTTTTTTTTTTTTTTTTTTTTTGGTGGGGGGATGATTTTAAATAATTTTTGACAATGATTTTGTGTAAATAATTTCGTAAAAGATGAGGAAGTTTTAAGTTTTAATAACTATTGTGCGATTCTTTTGTTATAACATTTAAACAATGAAGTATCGATAAACCAAACTCAGTAAAACAAATCAAAATTGTCTATATTATTTGGCACATACAAACAATTAGGATGTCAATTTCACAGTTTATATTTTTTTCTTTCGTTTCAAGTGTGGAAACCGTTAGAAAGCCAACATGAAATATACACCTTTCGCGTGGCATTACATGTCAAAAGTAAGGTGCGCGCCAACGTGTGACAAACTCTTACTCACTTTCTCTAAATGTCGGGGAGTGCATTGTGTTGTCTGTTCATAATGTTCATTTATGTTGTGGAAAAAAATCAGCAAATGTACAACTACAAGTAATTCTTGGCTTATTTTATCATTTTATATAGGGTAAACATAATCATTGTCTGAATCGATGAAATGGTTAAATTATGATGCCAAAAATCACACATCTTTATTAAAATAATATGCTGCTATCAAACTCGAATTTGCAAAGAAATCACAAGTATGTTCAAAGATGACTCTGGTCAAAGCATGAATAGCGCCCATCTCAGGTGTTTAATTTATATGGAAGATACGAAACAGCGGGGTGCAATTTGCGAAACTGCGGGGTAGCTTCGTAAATTGTTCTTATATCTTTTGTCGGAGTTTGTATTCTTCTCAAATTACCTACGATAGTTTTTTATATGCTTTAATTAACATATCATAGATTAAACAGTGAGACCATTAGTAAACGTAAAAGAACAGCAAGATATTTTACGAATGGATGTGATTCATTTTTGTTTGACAAAGACGGATTTCAATAGTTGTCAGTAATATCCACCTGTTATCTAGCAATGATTGAAAATTAGCCACGTGATTTTTTGGTGTTTTATCTTTTTTAACATAGTTTGATTACTTGTGTATTTGTAAAAAAACAAAAGATGAAATTTCATTTTTCAAATTCATACGTCAGTATATTTATAACTTCAGCATAAATTCATGAATAGTCTCTTGATCGTAGGTCTATTAATTACAGGGACCTATATACTACCCACTGAATCATTAAAATTAACTGGTCGAAAAAAGTTTTATGATTATTATTACTAAAATCTAAAAATGGAGTAAATCAAATAAATTTTCTAGCATCACCCAAATATCGTCTCTGGTGATTTTATTCCTGCTTGACATAATATTTTTTTTACGCAATACGCATCAATTGCATGCTTCATTTTTCATTTTTGCAGAGACATTTTCATAAAGTTTCAAATAAAAAAAAGAACTACACAAAACCCTGAAAAAAGATGAATAAATACACAAAGACATTTATGGATTCTTAATTTAAGTTGCTGAAAAATACAAACCTGAACTCTTGATTCGGTCAGGCCGATTCTAAGCGCCAATTCCTCCCTCATGAAAATGTCAGGGTAGTGAGTTTTGGCAAAGCTTCTCTCCAGCTCGTTGAGTTGGGCGGGGGTAAACCTGGTCCTGTGTCTCTTCTGTTTGGAGGGTTTATCCGAGTCCCCCATTCTATCTTCCCCCTCACTGTCTGAGTCTCGGGAGGGACTTTGTGGGGGGATAGGACGAGTGTTTCCTGTGACATTTCCCAGCTCGTTCTTGATGACGCCACCTAAATAGCATAAGAATACCGAAATGCACATGTTATCATGGTTATTTTCTGCTGTTGTTTTTCAATTTTAATTATCGATATTCTTTAAGCAATTTGAAATACACGTGCCCTCTTTATTATAGGTAAAGTTCTATTCAATGAAATGTTATCAAACATCTAATCGTCAAATATTTGATGAATGAAAATAATTAAATATTAGAGCAATCAAAAGGTTAACAAATTAAAGCCAATTCAATTTAATTGAAGAAACAGGCTCCGAATCACGAACCATGTAAAGATTAATTAACACGATTCTAAATTCATATTCGATATTTCTTTTCCTTACTTGTATAGTAAAAATTATCGTCAATTTTAAAGCTTCAAAAATATCTACGGAAAAGTTCTATTGCTGTCACCCTTAATTTTTAGTTTAAATACACGGGGCGGGATTTCGTCGGATCATATTATTGTAGATTTAAAGATAAATAATTTATTTAAACACAAAAATTGGAAATCAAAACATTTCCTGGGGATTTACATTGACGGATTATTGGGACGCGTTAACATCATTAAAGAAGGTGTCGCTTACCGCTAATCATATTTGGTTCACAATACCCAATAAACTTGAAATTGAAAAACTGGGGTTTCATTACGGCCAGATGAATTAAATAAGAACTAGTCCAACCAGGGCCTACTGGCTTAATTTGCTTTTCTTATAAATGTAGAATACTGCAGTCGGAGCCATCTCTTACCTTGCGAGTTCCCTCCGAAATTCCCAGCCATGGGCATCAAAGTCGCGGTTCCTAAATCCATTTTGGATTCCTAATTGTAGAAGAATCACATATGAAAATTATTTTTTAAAACCTTCCATTTATTTTTATATCAATTGTTTGGGTTATTTCTGATAAGCATCCGCAAATGAATTTCATTGGACGAAATTCGATCTACGATTTGCCGCTGACGTACTTATTGCTCCTGATCCTCCCATATACGGCTACGGAGGCATCTGGCAATGGCTCTGAGAAATGCCAATAATTTCAGAGTCCATGAATATTAAGTGTTATTGATCGCTAAAGGAAAAAAGAGAAAAGAAAAGAAAAGTGGGGGTCAAGCATTTTGACAGCAACAATAATACACAGTTTGTTTTCCTTTTTGTTTAGTCAATGAGAGTCGGGTATCAAACAAATGATATGTATATACAAAGGGATTGTGGGAATTTCTGATCAATGGCGTTGAATAATATTTGCCTCTCTATGCAGTTAAATAGGACGAATTTTCCCGTGCTTCAGACGTTTTGTTTGGATACTTCATTGTTCGACTCCTTTCATTTGTAATAAACAAAATTACATTATCATGTAAATACTAAATGGATTGAGTGACTCCTATAATTTAGTTGTGAAAAGAAAATCAAATGCAGGTAACGTTATAACTCCGGATGTATACGACATAATAACAATGCAGTTGTTGCAATTTTAATTGAAAGCTGACTTTTATACGGAATTTATGTTAATGCAAGTATTCCGCAAAATATTTATCCTCACTATTAAAATTGATATCGGTGACAATAATTATTTATTTATTAAAGTTTATTAAATTAGCACTATAGTACGTAGTCTTCTTCAATACTTTTTTTAACACTCAAGCGCTTGTGATTCAACACCATACACAAATTAATTTGAAAAATGCACACTCGCTAAGGAGGCTGGCGGTCAACAAATTAACCATTATATATATCTTATTTTTCGGATATGATATATCTTTAATAAACTGTTGACTATCAATTGGCAAAGAAAAATTCCATACATTTTCAAATTTATTTTTAAAATTTGACCATTTTTATATAATTATCTTTATAAGGAGCTCTTCTTTTAAAGGAGAGCAATTTAGTCTATAAATGGCCACAACCACTCAGCCCTCTTAAATTGTAATTTAAGAATCAATTCTAAAAATTCTTGATAATCTATTATTAATTCCCTCTATTACCCAAACAACCGCGAATATATTAATGTAATAAAATGGCTTTATTTGGTTTTAAATAAATATGACGATTTAAGAATATTAGAATTACTTCTTTAATTTATCTCGTAAATGTAGCATACTTTCAAATATGAAATGAATCACAGTCTTTTTTGGTTTGAATTATATAAAATTAAAAAAAAAAATCATTTACCTTCTACGACTATTTGTTGAATATTTGCCTCCTAAACAGCCCAAGAAATATTGTTTATTTAGAACTGAGATTACAAAATTATCAACCAAGACATGTAGATTGTTTAACATGCCTTCAGAAAAATAGAATTTGTAAATTACATGTATGTAATTGCAATAAACATCCTTACAGAAAATAAAAGTTGTAATTTATGTAAGTGCAATTAAATGGGATAAATTTCATTACTTGTTTGAATGTATTGATGTTGTTTCAATAAAGAACTCAAGAGTAATGTACATGTTTTTGTCAAAATATTTTGAAAATGTTTTGAAATTTGAAATGCTTTGTAATGTGTTCGCCATTCGAATAGTCAATATGGAAAAGGGAATAACCTTCCAACTTCTGATTGCCTTGAAATGTAGCCATTGCTGATCAACTTATCAGAATTTGTAAACTGCTAGATATCATAATTGAGAGCTGACTCAGTGGTTGATATTAGACTCTGTTATTCCTTCTTCACACATGTAAATTTTTCTGTTCATTAAGTACATATCTTCTCTTTATTGTTTTGTCAGTAATGAGAAAAAAGTTCAACTTCAAGCTAACGTAACTGAAATATGGACTTCTAATAAATTATGTGTTAACGTGGAGAAATTGGCTATTAAAGAAACTACTGGAATAATCCATAATTATACAGTCTAGATTCAAGATTTTTGTTATAAAAGAATTTAATATTGGAAAAAAAAAACTTAATTTTGATAAAGAAAAAAAAATTGAAAATTTTGATATTTTTTCAGACACATGTACACAGTGTATATGTGCTCTATATTTAAGTAAAACCAGTAAACAAGTCACGTGAACATGACCTAAATTTATGAAATTTGGTTTGTGACATTATCTAACATTTTGAAAACATCAAGCTGATAATGATTTATGCAGTGCTTTCTTTGCCAAGAGTCAAAGTGAAATTTAACATATTTTCAACTGAAAAGAACAGTTCTGACTTTTCATGAATTCACAGGGCCAAAAAAGGCCTAAGTGAACCTTGTTCTTGCTCTGCGTTTTAATATATCTCGTATTTGTTTCATTATTGTTTTATATACATGTATATCTCAGTCAATTTTCAAAGTTCATGGCCCAATTTTCAAAGTTCATGGCAGTGTTATCGTAGCTTGTTATCGCGTTCAACATAAAGCTTTACCACCATATTTGGTTATGCATGAAGCTAGTTTTGAACAAACTTAAAGACACATGACTAAAAAATAAATTATCTTTAAAAGTGAATTCAATGAAGCAAACGAATAAACGTTTAACAGATGATTTTGACAACATATATGTTGAATAGTTGTTCCATTTTTTATGAACCTATAGATTTCAGAAACATTTATCTCATTCACGATATACACCTCCTGACAGGTCCATTCTTTGAAAATATTTTCAGTTGATGAAGATCTCACATCACATGTCTAAAAATACCTAATTTTGTCACTATTAGTATTCAATAACGACAAGTATAAAAAAGAATGAAATTAAACAAAAAAGGGTCACCCAATTATTGTACATATATAGTTGATATAACGAAAACTAGATAGAATTTCATATATATGTATAAACATTTGAAATAATTTAAGAAAAGACACGCCAATAAATTTCAAAATCTCTTGCATCTCACATGATATATTCTTATTGTTTTTCAATTTCACATCATGACTTAATACTGTCTCAAGTTATTGGAGATTTCAAACAAGTTAAACTTTTTTTTTTTTTTAAGATTTCAAAATTTAATAAGACTAATTTAATTTTGAAAAATTAGCCCTTAAAATGTCTATAAAATTATCACATGGGAGATAATTATTTCAATTCTAAAAAAAAAATGTGATTGTTGGGTTTTATGTGATTTTCCATACTTTTTTAACTTATTTTGAAATGGTAAAGGCTTCAGATTTAGATCCTTAGTGTACCATTCAGCAGCAGTGATGGATCTTTATTGGTCTAACACCTATGATAATACGGGACCGGTTTTAAGGTCACATCTGAAAGAACTATAGATTTCTGTTCTTGTGCTAGGCACTTGGTCGGGGAACAGTCACTTTCCACGTGTATATTTTAAAATGACTTAGGTTTGACGCGACGCCATGAACGAGAATCGAACCGATACCCCACGTTCATGAAACAAGCTCCATCAAAGATCTGGAGCAGAAGAAGTAGACCTTTTGACCTTTCTACATAGGAATATGTCAATATTTTAGTCCAGAATCCAAAACTTATTTAATTATATTTAATAAAAACATTTTATTTCCTTCTGGTCGCAGATTTATACAAAACATATAATGCAGCACAGATCGATTTCAATTTATTTAGAACTAAATTTTATTCACCTGCAATTTCGTCTTATATCATAAATGCAGCCATCGTTTTTATCGTTCATTTCAATACCCGGTCTGTTAAATGGAGAATATAATTTTAAATGAATAAAATAAAATCTAATCGGCTTTTAAACCAGTTCATTTTCCCCTTTAATATTCGTATGTTGCAACCTTTGAGCAGTGAGGGAGCTTTTTCCTACTGCGATATAGGGCCCTAGATAAGGTCGGATCCAAAGGACCGCTGTCCTCAAAATGTCTACTGGGATTCCTAAGGATGCACAAGGGTCACTCAGCTCGATTTTACTCCTAGACTCAGCGCGAAAATCGCTAAACAATGCGCATGCGCAATGCGGGCTGTATTATTGTGTAGAATCGTCTCAATCGCAACTTCTCGGGCCTTTACGACTAGCGGTTTTTCCGATCTCTGACGGAAAGACCCGAGATGATGCGATTGGAATCGTCTAGACAGCGTTTGTTATCATTTTAAAAGACTACTTATACGTATGTTGGTTTTCCCCTTTTTTTCACCTGATCCTCCAATCAGATATTAATTTTATATAACACTAGTTAATTAATCATACAAATGTATTAATGAAATATAATTTATATATAGCATTGAGGAATTTCCTTCAATTACATGATGTAGATTATAAAGGTTGTGCAACTTGAAATACTACATTATTTATATGTTTAAAGTATTTAATAAATACAACTTAATATTTCTTAGACGTATAAACATGAATGGTAAATAAATTAATAAATTAAATATATATTAAATAAAACATTGAAAATAATGTTCCATGGATGTTGCTCTTTATTTTCAGCTCATGTGAGCTGAAAGCTGTCTGTCCGTCTGTAAACTTTTCACATTTTCAATTTCTTTATAAGAATTACTGGTCCAATTTTAACCAAACTGAGTACAATACATCCTTGGGTGAGGGGGTGTTAAAATGAAGACAAAATAGGGTGGGTGTATTAAAAAATCTTAGCAAGAACCAATGGGCAAGAAAAGCTGAAACTTATGTGTAAGCATTTTGGGGTAGTTAAGATTCTAAATCGTTCAAATCATGACCCCCTGGATAGGCCAGGGCCACAATAGGGAATTTCTTTAATCCTGGAGTTTTGTAGATTCTAAATTCTTCAAATCATGGCCCCCGGAGGTAAGGCGATGCCACAATAGGGAATCCAAGTTATACATGGAAATTTATAGGAAAAATCTTCGGAAATCTTCTTGAATCTTCTCAATAATCACTGGGCAAGAAAAGCTGAAACTTACATGTATGTGGAAGCATCCTAGG